TTAATTTTCCTCAAATATATATATTTTTTTCATGAAGACTAAATTATATCTCTTTTTTAGTATGTATTGATAATGTAGCTCATTTAATTAGAAAAATACCTTTTTTGTTTTAAGTTTGAAGTACTTTTTATTTTTAATATTAAATTAAAAGTACATTTATAAATATTGAGTATAATTTATCACTACTGAAATTTGACTTAAACATGCGTTAATTTGGTAAATGATTATAAATATTTTAAATTAATTTGGAATTTCGATCTATGTAGTTTTTAAAAATAGTTTTAATAATAATGTGATTTAATTAGCCATACAATATAAATCTTATTTTTCTAAGTTAAAAAAATTATTATTAAAATATAAAGATAATAAATGATTAAATATTTATATAATAATAATGTGAACTGAACGTGTGAAATTACTAGTAATTTTAAAAAGGTTGATAAATATATTCATTCTCTGTTACCAAAAAAGTAAAACCTAAGAAGAATTTTTTTTCTCTCGTCCCCTATACGAACTTTCTCCATCTCTATATATTTGTTCTGAGTACTGTTTTTTAAACAAAATTTTCATTTTTTAAAAACAAAGTTTACAGAAAAACAAATATATGATGGGAAATGATAGAAATATTGTACTATTAAAAATTATTAGAAACATAGAGTTGTTTTTTTTTTTCCGAAAACAACATGTAAGGTATAGATTCGAACCCACGATCTTTTGGTCGGTGATAGTCGATAGGTGCTTTAATCAGTTAAGTTATGTTCGGATTGACAAATATACAGTAGTTTTAAACTTATAGGGGATGAAAATGATGATTTTGAAACTATATTATTCTTCTAAAAAATAATCATAAAAATATAGTTGGTAAAATGATAATGTTGAAATTTTTGTAAAACTCTTAAACTTTTGTCGAGGTAAGAAACCACCCCCTTAAAAATACGATTTCAAGTGGAAATTTGGCTAGAAAATGTGTGAAAATAATTTATTAGGAATAATTTAATAGTTTAATATATGTTTTAATCATTTTAAGTGTTTTTTCCTTTTAGTTTCCATTATTTAAAAATTTTCAATTTATTTTTTATATTTTAATATATTTTTCAACTATTGGTGATGGTTAAAATTTGTTGATGATAATCATACATAATATGATGTTCAGTGAGTTTGTAGAAATTTAGAAAAGACATTAGTTGATCTCATTTTCTCCTCTTAATTTTTAATAAGTTTTCAATTTTTCTTTCTTTTAAGTGGGTTTTAACCTATTTCAAAAAAGAAAAAAAAAGTGGGTTTAATACCTCTTCTAATTAAATTTTTTTCTAACTTATTAAAATATCATGTTACTTAAGTTTATTATATGTTAGTTTTAACATTCATTAGCAGTGAGTATAATTGAACAAAATTAAAATATAAAAGACTAAATTGAATTTTAAAAAAAACTTTTAAACTAATAGGGACTAATTTAATAGGTATACACATTTGATATGAATAACAAAATATATTATTTATCTTTTAAGTTTGGAAGATTATTCATTTTTTTAAATAAAATGGTTTTAAAAAAAGGAAATTGTTCGAGTACAAGATAATTTTTTTTAAAAAAATTAGTTTATTATTTTCACGTTTTTTTATTAGTTCTAACTAATTAACTGTAATTGTAACTTGTTCCATGAATAAATGTAAAAAAAAAAAAAAGCTACTAAAAAAAATGTAAAACAAAAGACTAAAGATATTTTTTTAAC